GGTGATAGTTTGAGAAATATAGGTATGAACATATTATTTGCAGAAGTGAGATAACCATCAAAATAATTTTAAATGAAGGTGTCTGGAGAGTGGTACTGGGAAGTAGAAGGGTTAGAAAGAGACTTTTACTTTTCATTTTGTGTTTCTTTGTTCAGTTGTTTTTTTTTTTTTAAGAAAGTGACAGGAAGCATACCAAAATGTTAATAGGAGTATATCAGAGTGATAACAATGATCAATGGATTTGTTTCCTATTTCCCTAGAGTTTCCAAACTTTCTACAATACCCGTGCATTATTTTCATAATTAGAATGCACACAGAATCAGGATGCATAATAAAAATGCACACACTTTTATTAAATAGGATCAGGGAAATATATGGTTGTTTAATGGTTACCAAGTCCTTAAATAATAGCCTTTGTCCTTGATTGCTGGTTTATTGGAGGAGCTTCAAGTGGACATGGAATTTACTAAACTTCTTAGAGAAACATAATCTCTTTGATATTAAAAAAGAAAGGAGAGTGGTTTGGCCATATTTAATAACTCTCCATCTCTGCAAGGTCCTCTTTTTCCCAGAGCTTTACAAATGATAGGCATTCAGTTGAATCTTCTATCCATTATGGAGTGTCTATTTCTATCACATTTCCTAACAGATAAGTGTCTAACTTCAGCATCAATATTTTCAGGGAATATGACCCCAGCAGTCTATTCTATTTTCAGAAAGTTAACATTATTAGAAATCCTTCAATATATTTAGCCAAAGTGAGTTTCCCTGGAATAACCTCCATCCATTTAATCTTGATCCTGCTTTCCGAAGCTTTTTAGAACAAACCTGGCAATATTCTATATTATATTCTGCAATCACTTAAAGATGGTTTCGTGTTTCACTGGCTCAACACCAAGTCTATTTTTGCTGCACATCTTGCTCTGATCTCAGCACTTCCACAGTCTCCAGAATCAAATTCCTCCTTCATTTCTCTGGGATTGAATATGAGCTCATTCATTCACTCATTCATTCATTTTGTAATTCAATTTTTGAATTGAATTGTAATTCAATTGTAATTCAAATTGTAATTCAATTTTACTGTACATCAGCTCCTTTCAGTAAGGATGCACCTTTAAACAGACAAACTTGTAGAATCTCTCACCTTGGTCACCTTAGTTCAGATAATTTTAGTTCAGGAAAGTCAGAGAGAAACAGCCCAAAAGCAGGTAGAAGAGGAAGTAAAATCAAGTTGAGGAATGAGCCAAGAAGAAAGTTCTCATAGAAGAAGTAAAGCTTTACTGTGTGAAGAGTTTTATTTCAGACTGTTTCAGAGACACCAATACTGTTTCAGAGAGACCAATTATTTTGAAATTTTTAACAGACAACTAATTTGTGCTTGTTACTCTCAGGTTAGTGAACAAAAAGTAATGTACAAATTATTAATGGAGCTCCTGAGACTATGAATGAGGATGAGTGGATTATTAGCTACAGAAAAAAAAAAACAATACATTGATTTTCTTTTTCTCTATAGAGATTTGCATTTGTAAAAGTTAGACAAAATGTGTTATACAAAATGTTATAGAATAGAATAGAACATACAAATGTTATATTCTATATAATACAATATAATTCAGCCATAAACAGGGTATGAAGTACTGATTCATGCTACAATATGGATGAACCTTGAAAATCTTATGCTAAGTGAAAGAAGCCAACCATAAAAGATCACATATTATTATATGATTTTATTTATATGAAATGTCTAAAATAGGGAAACAATAGAGATAGTAAGCAGGTTAGTGGTTGCTTACGGCTAAGGAGGGTGGGAAGATAGGAGGTTTCTTTTTGTTATAAAATTGATTGTGGTAAGACACCTGGGTGGCTCAATGGTTGAACATCTGCCTTCAGCTCAGGTGGTGATCCTGGGGTCCTGGATGGAGCCACCCCCCCCCCACCTGCATCGGGTTTCCAGCAGGGAGCCTGCTTCTCCCTCTGCCTATGTTTCCGCCTCTGTTTCTGTGTCTCTCATGAATAAATAAATAAAATCTTAAAAAACTAATAAAATTGATGTGGTGATGGTTGTACATATCAATATGCTAAAAAATAATTGCATTTAAATGGGTGGATTTTGTCTCCAAAGGCAAAGGAAACAAAGGAAAAATGAACTATTGGAACTTCATCAAGATAAAAAGCTTTTGCACAACTGAGGAAAACCAAAAGACAAAACACACACACACACACACACACAGACACACAAAACAAAACACAACAACAACAACAACAACAACAACAACAAAAACCCCAAAAGACAACATACAGAGTGGGAGAAGATACTTGCAAATGTCTTATTAGATAAATAGTTTGTATCCACAATCTATAAAGAACTTAACAAACTAATACCTCAAAAATAAATAATCCAGTTAAGAAATGGGCAGAAGACATGAACAGGCATTTCTCCAAAGAAGACATACAAATGACCATTAAACACATGAAAAAAATGCTCATATCATTTGGCATCAGGAAAATACAAATCAAAATCACAATGAGATACCACCTCACACCAGTGAGAATGGCTAAAATGAACAGGAAACAACATGTAGGAAACATGTAGGAAACAACAAACGTTGAGGAGAATGAGGAGAAAGGGGAACCCTCTTACACTGGTGGTAGGAATGCAAGCTGGTATAGCTACTCTGGAAAACAGTATGTAGGTTCCTCAAAAAGTTAAAAATAGAGCTACCCTATGACCCAGCAATTGCACTACTAGGTATTTACTCAAAAGATACAAACAGGGCAGCCCCGGTGGCTCAGCGGTTTAGCGCTGCCTACAGCTCAGGGCATGATCCTGGAGACCCGGGATCGAGTCCTACATCGGGCTCCCTGCATGGAGCCTGCTCCTCCCTCTGCCTGTTTCTCTGCCTCTCTCTCTCTTCTCTGTGTATTCTCATGAATAAATAAATAAAATCTTAAAAAAAAACAAAAGATACAAACATAATGATCCAAAGGGTACCTGCACCCCAATGTTTATAGCAGCAATATCCCCAATAGCCATACTATGGAAAGACCCAAATGTCCATTGACAGATGAATGGAAAAAGAAGATGTGGTGTATATATACAATGGAATATTACCCAGCTATAAAAAAAATGAAATCTTACCATTTGCAATGATGTGGATGGAACTAGAGGATATTATGTTAAACAAAATAAGTCAGTTAGAGAAAGGAAATTATCATATGACTTCACTCATATGTGGAGTTTAAGAAATAAAACAGAGGATCATAGAGGAAGGGAGGGAAAAATAAAATAAGATGAAATCAGAGAGGAGACAAACCATAATAGACTCTAAACTATAGGAAACAAACTGAGAGTTGCTGGAGGAGAGGGGGTTTGGGGGATGGTAACTGGGTGATGGACATTAAGGAGGGCACATGATGTAATGAGCAGTGGATATTATATACAACTTATGAATCACTGAAATCTACCTCTGAAACTAATAATACACTAAAAATTAATTGGGTTTAAATTAAATTAAATTAAAAAATAAATGGGTGAGTTGTATGGTATGTGAATTATAACTCAATAAGGCTGTTTTTAAAAGGTTAGAAGTTTTAATAGTTAATTAATAACTATAATTAGGATAGGATACTGATTTACTCATTACCCAGCCTTCTCTTGGAAATCCCCCCAAATGGAAGTTGACTGATTCTAACAAAATGCTTTGACTCATTCCCAAGGGTATTAAAGCATGTTGTTCAATGTTCAGAATCTAACACACTCTTGACTCAACCCCTACTTTGAGTGCATTTAATATTAACATTCAGCAAATTTGTACTGAGTTTTAAGCCTGTGCTGGGCACTTGGATCAGCAAAGAAGACAATGACCCTGTCCCTATTCTTAGGGATTGTTCTTTCCAGAGTCCAACAAAACTTATTACCAGTCCCTGTCTTGGAGCAGCAGTGAAAATCTCATTTCATTTGGCCAAGTTCCTTCCTTCCTTTTAGATTCTAGGTCACCTGAGGTTGTTGGTATGCGTGCTTATAGAACACCAAATCTAATTGGTCTTTTAAAAACCCTGTTTAAAGACCAGGACAGACAGGGAAAAACAACCAACCAACCAACCACCACCAACAACAACCAAAACTCATGAAAAAGGAGAAGGTGGAGGTGGCTTTTCAAACTCAGTTGAATGTCTCCATTCTCACAAGATGCTTTCTGCATTAATCAGTGCAACTGGCTGACAGGCTCCTCCCCTAGTTCCTTCTGGGTTCTCTCCTGCAGCTCATGTCCTTTCCACATTTCCCTATTCAGACATGTCCCCTGACCTTACTCTACTGTGAGTGACTGTTCAGACTCATGGAAGACTTTGGGAAAATGGAAGCCTTATTTCAGACCCTAGTTATGAGATATGAAAGATGGCTGGAATGCCTGAATAGAACAGAGAAAATGGTGCATTTTATTTTTACCTCATTGTATGAATTATAGTCTCCATATGAAATATAGTCTCCTAGAATAGTTTCAAGACAGGTCATCCAGGATTTGCTTCTTAAATATTAAAAAGACAATAACTATTTGGCTACTCATCATCAGTGTCTAAAGAGTCTGGTATAAATAATTTAAGAGTCACTATCCTTAGGCAAAAATTAAAGTCACCTCAACTCAGAAATATGGCAAGGGGCCAGTGAGCACCTGTCTCAGGAAAGCTGGTTAAAGATAGGGAAGAAGAGGGTGCCTGGGTGGCTCAATCAGTTAAGCATCTGCCTTCGGCCTAGGTCATGATCCCAGAGTCCCAGGATGGAGCCCATGTTGGGCTCCCTCCTCAGCAGGGAGTCTGCTTCTCCCTCTCCCTCTGCTCCTCCCCCCTGCTTGTGCTCTCTCTCACTCAGTCTCTCAAACAAATAAATAAATCTTAAAAAAAAAGAGAGGGATGAAGACTCTTTAATCACCAAAAAATGTCTGTATTGTGTATCTCTATTGTGTACCAAGTAATTAGTTAGAAAGTAGTGGAGTTCCTGTTACCTGCTTAGCAAGGTAGAGTTTGGTTATAGAAGATCTCTTGATCTTGGTCCTATACACATGAAGAAGCTGCCAAGGGGCCAGGAGCCAAAGGAAACCCAAGGGAATCCACACCAGAACAGTTTGCTCAAAACAAAGTGGCAGGTCCGCTTCTGGGCTATCCAAGAATGAAGAGTTCTGGGAGAATCAAAACAAAATATATTCATTTTTTGAAGACAGAAAACCAGAACAAGCACTCTTGTTTCCTGTTACCTCTATTTCCACCCCTGTTCCCAAACAACTTTAACTCTATTCTCTGTCCATATCTGGCCTGCCCCTTCCCTAGCTGCATTTTCCCACTTATCTCCATTGATATAAATTCAACATTTAATGACAGTGACTTTTCTGGCTGATCTAACCTTTAGAAACTTTTCTTTCTGTAATTCTTTTTTTTTCTTTCTGTAATTCTAAGTAAATTTCTCCACCAGCTATTCTAGGTAAACTTCACCACTGCATTTGCCAAGTTGTGGGAAGAAGAGGAATGGACTCTTCTTCAATTCAAATAGTTCCCTTGGATATAGAAACTTGTTCTCATTTTTGCTTTTAGCCCTAACTCAACTCCCTGACAGATGTTCAAACAGGCAGGCAACACAGGCGTTAGTCACACTATGGCATTTCACCTCCTTCGGGCTAGGGGGCTTACAGAGATTGGAGCCTGAGGGGATCTTGGGTGCAGGCGCTGTTCTGGCGCTAGTGGATGACCTATTCCCGGCATATTTGGACTTGTCCTTACATTCCGCAATAGATAGGATGTCTTATGAAGTGAAGGTGGGAGCACTAGTTCTTATTTCTGAGTCTTGTGAAGGTGGATTTTTCTCTCTTGATAAATACTTTTTAGTTGTCTTTGCATAGTTGTTCACACAAACTCTTTAAAGGAAACACTGTGGTGCCATGACCAAGATGATCTGTCAGATACTCAGATTCTCTCAGAGAGAATTCCCAAAAGATGGTCGGGTAAGATCCTGGGGCCATTAAGTCCCACCCTCCTGTGCTGTAGGTATCCTAGCCTTGAGGTCCTGGGGACGCAGGTTCTTTCTAAGATGTGAATGCTAACCACCTGCTCTGCTATCTCATCCCTACTCTTCTTATCTCTCCATAAAGTTATCTAACTTTAGAATTCAGAAGAATTACCTAAGATATTTAAACTATTTTAACACACCCTCCACATGATTCTGATGCTGTGCTAGACATGTACAGACCACACTTTCACAGCATCACTAAATCCTAGGTTCCTTCTTATGTTCTATTCCACTAAGCCATTTGGTACTGTTGCTCACCCTGACTTGAACTTCTCTGCTCAACTGATTCAAAAATGGTCTCAGTGCTCATGATGCCCAAATCTGCATCCTGACCTCAACTTCCACTCCATACCACTAATTGCCAGTTCCTCTAGAACATATCATTATCATTTCAATATCCCAGCATTTACCTCTTCAAAACTCAGCCTTGGGTCTTCTCTTCTTCCTCCCACTCCATAAACTCCACAATAACTTTCCCTCCTAACATTGTTGAAATCGGAAGGCTTTTCCCTATTTCTCTTTAGAGAATACAATTTACAGCTAGCTAGTCTGAGAAAGAGTCTGGGACACAATAAATATATGTTAGAGAATACATATGTTACCTCTTCCACATAGAATATCCTCTGGAGACATTATAATGTATCTTTTCTTAACCGTCCCCCCAAACCTAAAAAAAAAAAAAAAACCAACCCAAAACAAACTCTGAGCTTTATACCATCTGCACATCTAACATTTCTGGTTCTTATTGGTTGCCACCAAGGTTAATCTATTAGCTCTGAGTCTGTGAAGAATCAACAGTGAATATAAGTATTATTTCTCACCCAAAACGTAGAGTTGCAGAATTCCTCCAGCATGATTCCTGGAGCACTTCTGAAATGAAGACTCTTCTGTGACTCTGCCGTGTTTTATTTACTCTTTTCCTCAGAGAAGGTGGACTGCAAGTAGCAGTGAGTTATCTCCCATTCTGATGTTCTGACGTTCCAAATGAGACCTTTCATCCTAACAGTTTACTCATTAACCTTCCTCAGATATTTATTTACCTTGTTCTAGTGGATAGACATGTGACTAGGAATGAGGAGCCCCAAGGGCAGGTAGACTCACCATTTCCCAAGGACCAGAAGCCTTTGTAGATATGATAGTGTCTAAAAGGAACCACTGAAAAATGTCAGCAGAGCTGATGGACAACTCAGGAGCAGAGGAGCCTTTTCTTCTCCTGAAGACATATGACCTAAAAAGGGAAGCATCAATGGAGGGGCAAGTACCCTTAAACATGCAGTTTCACTTCTGTTTTAAGGCCTTAGAACTTATAGGAATGTGAAATATATCCTACTCCTCTTGATTTAAATTAAGGCCATAGAACTGAAGGGCACCTAGGTGGTGCAGTCAGGCATCTGACTTCTGGTTTGGCTCAGGTCCTGATCTTAGAGTCGTGGGTTTCAGCCCCTCATCAGGTCCATGCTCAGCATGGAGTCTGCTTGAGATTCTCTCTTTCTCCCTCTGCCCTTCCCACTCATGCTTTCTTGCTTTCTAAAATAAATAAATAAATCCCCTTTTTTTAAAAGACCATAGAACTTAAAATATAGTTAAAAGTAGTATAAACTTTATTTCAAAAAGTCAGGTTATAAAACAGCATATCTAGCATGAACCTATGTATATGTATAATTTATGTGACAAAACATTAGCCTTAGCTGTTAGGATTGTGGGTGAAATTTCTTTTTGCTTTTCTGTATTTTTTTATTTTTCCATAATTATTAGGTATTATGTGATAATATTTTAAAGTAATTTTTTGTATTGTGGTATAAAATGCATGACATAAATTTTACCATTTTTAAATGTATACAGTTTAGAAGTGTTAAGTATATTCACATTGTTGTGCAACCAATCTCCAGAACTTTTTCATCTTGTCTAACTGAAACTCTATGCCCATTAGAACAACTCCCCATTACTCCCTCCCCTAGTAAAGCAAATGCTCTTTTAAAATCAGGTCACTCTAGGGGATCCCTGGGTGGCTCAGCAGTTTGGTGCCTGCCTTTGGCCCAGGGCATGATCCTGGGGCCCTGGGATCGAGTCCCACGTCCGGCTCCCAGCATGGAGCCTGCTTCTCCCTCCCTCTGCCTCTCTCTCTATGTCTATCATAAATAAATAAATATTTAAAAATAAATAAATAAATAAAATCAGGTCACTCTAACAACAGCCACACATTTTTGCCAATGTATTAAAGTGCAAATGCCATCATTTGGGGGATCGTGTGAAACCATTTTGGTCACTAACACAAAAAAACACTTCTTTGTTCTATGGGTATATACAGACTATACCTATAGAGAGTAATTAACACAACAGTAATGTACACTTCAATGTATATGAACATACATACATATATATTTAATGTGTACTTTAATGCCCTGCCTAAAGTTAACTATACCTTCGGTTACCTTAAACTCAAAAATGATAATAACATTTACCACTAGTACTAGCAGATACATTGTGGATTATTGACATCTGAAAGATGTATAACTTTTATTAGGATACTCATTCCCCACTGAGCAGGGAGCCCAAAGAGGGACTAGATCCCAGGACCCTGAGATCATGACCTGAGCTGAAGGCAGACACTTAACTGACTGAGCCACCCAGGTACCCCTCTGAAATAGTTTTCACTGATGATCCCGCTGGCCTACTCAACACCAGCTTCCCGTACTGGCCTCTTTGATGCCCTCCAGCTAATTAGCTTAATCAAGAATAAACCCTCACTCTCCTCACACTATGTTTTCCTCCCTTCCTGTCTCTTTTTTATAAGCCCTGGCTTTTCCCTTTGTTTGTTGACAATAGCATAATGACGATCTTCCTTAAACATGAGAAAACTAGCATACAAATATCTAACTAAATGTCTGAATTATTCCTTGACAATGATGTCAATCTTCTATCTTTCTAGCAGATGGAGGATCTATTGACTGCACTTGTGTAGCAAGTAGTTGTGAAAGCAAATTGGCTATGCTTGGAAATGTTCATTGAGACTGAAGAGAGGACCTAATGAGTGATATGGTGTGAGTGGAATTATTTTCTATAGATAAAATGTAACCCCCTCCCCTCCGCTGTGATGTCTATTGCAAGTAAGAGGAATAAAAAGTGCCTGATAGAAATGATAATCATCTTAAAATAAGCAAAATTTATATTCATTTGTGCTTAAAACATTTTGAGTTGCTTAAAAAAGGGATGGTAGAGGATTTAAATATTCATTAAAACAAATGCTGTAAGGGCACCTGGGTGGCTCAGTGATTGAGTGTCTGCTTTTGGCTCAGGTCATGCTCCCAGCGTCCCAGGATCGAGTTCCACATCAGGCTCCTGCAAGGAGTCTGCTTCTCTCTCTGCCTATGTCTCTGCCTTTCTCTCTCTGGGTCTCTCATGAATAAATAAATAAAATATTTAAAAATAAATAAAACAAATGCTGATTACAGGATATATACTAACATGGATGGAATAAATACATAGTGTATTATTAAATGAAAAAAGAAGTGGGTGGATTGGGCATGTAAAGAGCTTGGCAGTACTATTCCATCCTAACAAGTAAAATTCTGAGCAATCTGAAAAATCAACAGTGCTTCTTAGTTCAATAAGAGAAGTGAGGTGACACAGTGAATTGCTGCCCCCCCCCCAAATTGAAAAGACAGACAAGCAAATGCAGAGAATCACAATTTACTAGAACAAAACTGCATAAACTAAAATCTCTACAGGATATAGTGCTGGGTTGGGGAATCCTGAACTGTAATTGACCAACTGATAGAGTCTCAGTGTCTGAGAATCATGTAGTCACTGAGAGGTCTTTTTTTTTTTTTTAAACTATGTGAAATATTTATTAAGGGCTTTGCCTACAAAAGCACAACATAAATAGACAAAGTCCTCCTGAAATATAGTGTACACATCATCCAGTTGATAATTTGTACTGGAGAATATAGGAGTATGACCTATGACTGGCTTCCCACATCTGAACTTGGGCAAGTGCATGGGAGAAGACTCTGCTCCAGGAGCCACAGTATGTAGCTGTTATTTTGCCATTGTCTCTGCCAAGTCTGTTAGGCAAGTGCAGAAGTGCAAACAGGACTTACTTTATAAACAAACATCCCGAGGCAAATACTTGTGCATCTTCCACAACCATGAGAATTTCTTCATAAATCTTCAAAGGTTTAGTGTGGAGGTAAGTCAAAGCAATTAAAGCATGTGTGAACTCTGGGCAGTTTTTCAGAACTCCACTATTTCTCTATTGTGAACCTGCTGAGAACCACTGGGACCAATAGTTTAGGCAAATTCATAGACAGGTACTTGGGATGTCTCTGTGACAATCTGTAGTAACCGGAGACACTTCTCAGCAACCATCACCAGCACAGCCTTTCAGAACCACAGAATGACAGGATGGTTTGGACAGTAACCTTTCCTGTAAATAGAATGTTATCCCTAGTTTTTCACGTGCACACTGCCAAGGTTGCACATCAGCAACTCCAGCTTGTTGTCATCAAATATTTTAATCAAGGGCACCTGGGTGGCTCAGTCAATTAAGCATCTGCCTTCGGTTCAGGTAATGATCCCAGAGTCTTGGGATCCAGTCCTGCGTTGGGATTCCTGCTCAGTGGGGAATCTGCTTCTCTCTCTATCCCTCCCCTCTGCTTGTGATCTCTCTCTATCATCTCTTTCAAATAAACAAATAAAATATTAAAAAAATATCTTAAATCAACAGAAAGCAGTTATGTGAATCCCTCCAAGAAGGTGTTCATTTGCTTCTGGACTTTGTTCACAAATCTGCACTGGATGACTCAGACTCTGCCTAAGTCCAGCTGAAATCTCACTCAAGTCTGAAAGATGATAAAAAAAAATCCATGGGACTCAGTTATAGAGGAGCTCCTCTCTACAAACACGTTTGTGAGTTTTACCTTCAGGAGCTTTGGGAGGTTCTCACAGTGAATATTGAAGAAAAATCTGCCTCTGGCAGGGGGAAAACAAATGCCATTTGAAATATACCAGAGAATTCTGTTCTTTTCAATAGGCCTGCTCTCAGAAGCTACTTAATCAGAACTTAGTTAACCACTTAGTTGTGGTTTCATCAGAGCCTAACCAACCTGGGGGCAGGGAGAGAAATACCCAAATCTAGCCTATTCTAGCCTTCTTGTTCACTTAAGGGAGAGAGCTGAGAAGCACTTGTGAAGTTCACAGTCCAGAGGCATAGGCTCACTAAAAGATGGAGACCTAATCATAGGACCATAGAACACTTCCTCTTCTCCAACACCTTACCACCACATCACTAAAGGCCTATTTTCAGCAGTTCCTTTTACCCAGTACATCAAGTCCATCTGTCAAGAAAAGATTATGAGACATACTAAAAGGCAAAAAACAGTGTGGAGAGACAAAGCAAGCATCAGAACCAGATTCAGATATGACAGGGAGGCTTGAACGTTCAGAGTAGGAATTTAAAACAATTATGATTAATAAGCTAAAGGCTCTAATGGATGAAGTAGACAACATGCAAGAACAGAGGGGGCAATATAAGCAAAGAGATAGAAATTCTAAGAAAGAACTGAAATATGGGAGATAAAAACCACTGTAACAGAAAGGAAGATTGACTTTAATGGGCTTATTAGGAGACTGGACATAGCTCAGGAAAGAATCTCTGAGCTTGAGGAGATCTCAGAGAGAATGTTAAAGCTGGAAAGCAATGAGAAATTAGACTGAAAAACAACAGTATATCTAAGAACTGTGGGACAACTCCAAAAGGTGTAGTTCAGAGATGAACAGAATTATGTAACCCAAGGAAGAGCTTTACTGGCATGCCAAGAGGATCTGCAGTTGCTTCAGTATCTTAAACATCTGTATCAATGACTTACAGATATTAAGATAACTCCCACTTAATGGATCTCTATTATATGTCAATGTCACATAGGTTTCTTAAAATAATGAATGCATTTCCATGTTA